CATGCATATATCATTCACGGATTGTGAGTATCGTTTATTCTTTTGTATGTAAATTGAACAGTTCCGTTATGTGAATGCAATGAAGCAAAGTGATGAGGAAATGAATTAACTCCGAATTTTCTAAATGAAATGCCACAGAAGAAGACAACATAAGAGAATTGCAGAAAAGATGAGAGTTATACGGTGACGATAATGCCTTTTTAGTAACAGCAAGTGCAATGCACAAAAGTAACATTGCAAACAGCTTTTGATATGAATTTTCATGACTTCAGTCGTTTAGCAAAAAAACATGCACAGTTCAATAGAATATCCATGCGTCACGCTGACGATGATACGATACAATAATGGTCACTGAGACTATTCGATATTTCTGCATATGAGAACCGCCATTAAATTTAACCATTGGCTAGTATGCATTACTTCTACATCACTGCCTGTTGCTCGATCTAGGTGAATTGTGATCAGAGCTGATGCATTAAGGAACTCATGAATACATTCACTGTTCATTTACCAGAATGGTTATGCATAAAACAACGCGTTGTTCTGCATTTATTATTCACGAATGTGCCAGCAAACAATCTTTGTAAGCATACGTCGCAAATGAAAGCTGAACGGTTATGAAATGATATTATAGAACAATAATAAAGTGCAATGCTGACAGAATTGCTGTACAATATTGAATAATTGGTGAATAAATGATTAGATAAGTGGGGATTATTATTATTCACAGCGTAATTTCTATACTGTTGGAATCATTTAATGATGAGAAGTTGGCGAATCTGAACGAACAACGTAACCGGGTCAGTATAAATTATTTCAATTATTCTGAAGAGTCGGTTAATATCGAAATATTCCCACATCAATATGAACTGAGTTTTCTAAAAAAAACTCTCTTCCATACAATGCATGGGAAAGAATATAAAATTATGAATTGGTAGAGCATTAAATAGAGGAACCGACTGAGGTTTAATGATGAGAACGTAAACGTACCTCATATCTCGTTGGTCAAAGTTGAAAACGACAAAATATCTCATATAATGAGTTGAGATGAGTTAGTTACATGAATTTGGTTCCTCTTATAAGTGAAAGTTGCTCTGAAAAAAGCATCACTTAATTTTGTTGCTGTTTCTAAAAACTCCAACTTGAAAAATTCACTTTTGATTTAATGTGATTCCAAATAATCAACAATTTTCAGTCAACTTTTCATTCCATTTTCTAAAAAAACGATTTTGTAACACTGTTGAACGGACAAGCGTTATTGAAAAGAGCAAGCCAAATCCGTCCTAGTGCAACTGCCCTCCGGATAACTGCTATGCCCTGGATAAATTTTCCTGAACAACAGCTCTCTATCTCACAGTTACTGGCATAAATGCCTCCAACAGATCGCCTCGGCGATAATCATACTTTTGGTATACCACATACCAAAAGCATGATTAACCCTTCCATGCAGTCACGCCATAATAGATCCCGAACAGATCCATTCGGTAAGTTTTATACAATGAGTAGCAATTCAACTCGCACAACAAAAACAGTGCCTAAAGGTGAAAACAGTTCTAAAAAACAGTAATATCAATACCAGAAAAACTATCCACCATCATAACAATACAGCAACATAAACAAAAACAGCCATATGAGCAATTGCAATTATGGATATCTTTTAACGAAACAGCCGTATGAGCAATATGAATCAGGAATAATAGTAATAATAGAAGCATGATACAACAATTATGACGTCAGTTATGATTTTAATGATATTAGTAATGGTCGGAAAAACTTATGTTCACGAAGATGAATAAAGGCAACTTGTTGAAGGTTAACTGTCCTGGGGCGATTGTCCGGGGACAGCTGTTTGGGTACCCATTATATCAGTGTTCAACTCATAAGCGCGCATTCAACTTCAACCACTGAAATATATTGCAAGCGCAGAAACCATACCATCTCTCTTGAGCGATTTTTCCGTGCAAAGTGCCAGTGTATTGGTCATTTTTGAGTCGTTGAAACAGCATGAAAAATAACCACATCAAGTCCATACATTGCCTGAACATCTTAGATACACTATTTGTACCTTTTAAATTTTGCACAGTACTGTACTGTACGTGATCTTTTGGAAGTTTTTGTGACGCAATGTATGTACATTAATAGATGCAATGTACAGTATCATATTGTACTGTACACTGCATCTGTCACACTTGTACAAGTCTGTACTGTCTCCGGTACATTACAGTACAACATGTACGAATATTTTTGGTACAGCGACATCACTGGTATATAAATTAATGTTTGGAGTAACCGGCAGTCATTCAAACTGATCATTTTTCGGTAAATTGTGCATGGAGGGTCAGATCGAATTCACAGCATGCCTCAAATTGAAGAAATGAAATTTCGAATATATGATATAAAGAAACGGATTTGATGAGCATTTATCTGTTTGTTCATTGTTGCAGGAATACGTACAACTTGAAGGAACGCAATTTTTCATGTTGCTGATAGTGATCTCTTTGTACACGATCATTTCAGCATCACACGATCGTAACCTTTCTACTTTCTCAAAACTGGTCCCAATGGCCAATCGCTACTTAGGCATCTAATGATCTGATTGCCTGATGAATTGCTGCATCCACAGCTGAATTTGATAAATGCAAAAGATAAAGAGTTATGACAGATTTCAAGTGTTGCGTGTCTCGCAGAAACGATCATATTTCATCAATTAATAGCATGTGATTCAGAAATTTTGACGGGATTACATAAGCAACATCATTCGCTAAAAATATCACCTTGTAACACTTTTATTTATGGGAGTATTCCATCACTATTACTTGAATAAAACTCAATAATCACCATTGAATAAACTGATAGCAGCATAGTGAATGAATCAATGAGACATTTGTAATCAAGAGGTTTTCATTGAGATTTGAGCTGATGATGTTCGCAATTTATGATCTTGCTCAGTATCACTCTAGGCAGAAAAAGTGATATAAAATACTACGGCGTGAAATGGTTTCTGACAAGGAAACAATTTTAGAAATTGAGAATTTATTTCACGTGATAGTATATGATTCTATCAAACCAGAAATAGGTACAGACAAATTAAAAGAGACATCACAGCGTTATTCTTATAGCTTGTTTCTCAGTGATGGCCAAACGAGTTTTCATACAATATTAGATAATCCACAAAATGCAAAATTGGAATGAATGTATGCAAACGCATTCGTTATTGTACAGTGGTAAAAATCGAACGAATGTACCTTTTATGAAGACTGTTTGACAGTTTTTAATGAGCAAAGTTCTGTGATCGAAGATAAAACGGACGGTAAGAAACATTTGATGCATTTTCTTAATTCCGGGATGGAGAAATGTCAAGCAGAAAGATACTTGCGGTCATAGATAATGAATGTTTTCAGCAATGTTTGGTTTTGGGCGGTAATATTCTCATATATTCTTAGAGATCAAGGAGAAGGGATTTTCTTAAAATGATACAAACTGAGTGACAATAATAGATGTGATTTAAATACATAATATGGTACAGAACAATAATATGATATACGATTGCACTTTACATTAGCAATAAACGTTGCTAAGGCACAAGCATCCGTGCACACATAATTCATATCGATGAAATGATATGATCCACTTTGAAGCGACCAATGGATATCAACAAACTTCAATGGTGTGTTTTTCGATGAATGCACATATGCGTCATTTGAACAGTGTTCATCGAATTCGATGCGGTGATAAGCAGCTCACGAAATTATGAAAGTAAGCTGTGCTTGCTTCCTGGCGGAATCCGTAGTGGAATAGAGATGCAATCTATTTTAAGCAAGGATGAATGAGTGAATGTGAATGAAACGGCACGATTCAGCAATATCATTTGCTTTTGCTCAGATTGATATGGAGGGTGATTCGTCGTCAGTTCACCTAAACAAGTGAAGAAACACTTATTAAGCTGTGCATTGTTTTTGCATTTGTGCTGACACTCAATTCACCGCTTAAATTGTTTCCCTGTCAATTCATTGTACTCGCTAGATAAGTCTCGATATGTGTGCAACAGTTATTGTTGGCGTATCGTGCCCATCACAGTTCATTGAACAATTACTGACTTTCGTTGAGATGAACAGAACAGGATCCATGGCTTGCAAAATTATGCTGTTTCTTGCATAGTAGTCCGGTTGCGAGACGTTCGACAACCCATGTGTTACCAGACTTACGAATAAAAATTTTTCAAAAACTGCATTGATTTAATCTGCGAATGGCAATAAGTCATTCAGTAATATTTATAAAATTATGCATTCGAAGAGAGCATTGTAGAGGATAAGAGAAGTTTGAACGAAATAAGCGAATGAATCGTTTTGAAGTGCAACTACGGGCGCAAGTATGATGAATGTGCAAAATGCGTGACGACAAGATGGTAATAATCACGATTGTAAATGCGTTATTATGTGACATCATATTCATGCATTCGATACGTGAATAACAACAACACACTATCAGTACCACATGGACAGTGATGAAATCCAGCCATATCCCACTATATAAAACGCTATTTACCATTAGATATTTCTGTTACTGTGGCTATTCAGACAATGATGACGGCTTAATATTATAGAACGAGTGAATTGCTAGTTGCAGATAATGGAGGAAACAATCATGGTTGAATATGCTGTAAACAGCATTCAGTAATTGCTTGATACGGAATTGAAACACGCTCGAAAAGTGTCAGCTGTGAGAAATAACTTATTCCTCTGCACTCTTTCATTTCTGTATTAGTGACGCAATTTGAAGGCCGAACATAATTCTTCAATGCTATAAGCGATTGATGAAAAATTCAAAGCAAAAAGGAATACTGAAACAAACTATTTAGACGACGTTCACCACCAGTGAAGGAACGGTGAAGGACTGAAATTCCGCATATTAAAACATTTGAAGATTTTGCATTATCATATTTCTAAAAATCACTCGAAGACGGCTACTCCCAATAAGGGTGTCAACGGGTCGGAAAGGCTATGCCAGCGGAGCTTCATGCTGTAATAGATTCTGCCAAGCTGGAAAGGCTTTCCATGGGCACCGAGGTAATGATTACGTATCTGACCTTCAAGAGCCAACCCGACTAAAGCGAAATGGTGGGCCGCGGCTATAGGGGTACGGGGGCTAGCAACTCGAACACAACTACCGCAAAACTTATTTTGCTAAAAAAAAATTGAGAAAGGAAGGAACTGGACAGGATTTACGGAACTTGGACAACGGATCGGATCGACAACGATTTCAGTGTAATGGAAGGGTCAAGCGTCAAACGTTTGTGGCTACTCACAACACCAGAACGATATCGTTCGATTACCAAGCGTATGTTGAAAAGACAGTAAAGATTAAGGTCGACGTTATTAGAATCTCCGAAGCAAGACGTAACGAAGAGCTTGCAGCCGAATGGCACACAGGAGACCAGCATTTTGCAACGAGTCGAGGGCAGGTGGAGTTGGGTTCATTGTGAAAATGCAAGCAGTAAGCCTTATCGATAACTGTAACATTCTTTCACCAAGAACTGCAGTGCTGGTTTTACGTCTTGGTAAAAATAGAACCTTAAAAATTGTACAGATATCTGCCTCCGCTACGAACAACACGCAGTCCACAGGAGAGGCCGAAGAAGAATTCGAAAAATTCTTTGAAGAAGTAGAAAAGGCTGTAAATACAAGATCAGCATGTACAATTAAGGTTCTAAAAAAGGTATAAGGTTCTACAAGGAGATTTCAATGCAAAAATAGGACGCAGAGTCCGTGAGAATGAAAAGTGTATCAGCAAATACGGAATTGAAGTCAGAAATGACTGTAGACAAGGTTTAATAGCATTTGCCGTCAGTAATCACTTTCAAGTAATGAATACTGTACGAGACAATTGACATGGAACAGTCTGAACGGTGCTGTAAGAAACCAGATAGATTATGCAGTATCAAGCTCAAAGCGCACCATATCGGACGAAATACGAAGGTTTATGCAAGCTGATTGTGAAGCTTACCGCATAGAAAAGCTAAGCAGAGTAGCAGAATGAAAACAAAAACTTGAAAAAGGTGAAAAGAGAAATCGCGCTGGAACGAAAAGTGCTCAGCGACATTGGTTCTGACCACCGCCTTGTACGCACAACAGTCACGGTAAACTAATCCCAGAAGAATGCCGTGATGAAAAAGAAATCTCAGCAAAGAGAAACTGTTAGTATGACATCATTAGCGATGAAACTAGAATCTCAAGATTGGTCCATGACCAGCAACGACGTGAACCAAGATTACGCAGAATTCATACGAAGCAATCAAAGACGCGAGCGAGGAGGCTCCGTCAAGAAGATCGACGGGACTACAAAGCCATACGAAACAACTGATGGCTGTTAGAGCCCGCATGATTGTTGAGGGGATAGCAGAAGGAGATGAATACAAGTTGCTATGTGAAGAAATACGAAGGTTTGTGCAAGCTGATGTGAAGCTCACCGCGTAGAGAAGCTAAGGAGAGTGGCAGAAGAACGCAAAAGCTTAAAAAAAGCGTGAAGAGAAAGTGTGTTGAAACGAAAAGTGTCCGGCGCGTTGAAAGACTGCTTGGGCAGAAGGACAGTGGTGAGGTCGGAAATGATAGAAGCATGCAAAAAATTTTACAATGATCTATATTCAGGTTACAGAAGTGCAATCGCCTGCCGCAAGAGAGGAAATACCGATCGTGATACAAGACGAAGTCAAAAATACATTAAGTAAGATAAATACAGACAGAAGCCCAGGTAATGACATAATCAAGACAGAGTATTTGAAAGTGGGTGGAGAATATCTCAATAGAACGCTTGCTGGAAGATTTACGAAATACTTAGAAATCACTACCGTCCCAAATACCTGGCTTACATCCGAAATCGTATTTCTGAGGAAGAAAGGCGATCCTGAGGACTTGGCGAATTACCCTCTCGTTACACTGCTATCGCAAGTATATAAACTATTTACTATAATAGTTCTAAATTGGATTGCAGGACAAATCGAAATGCTCAGAGAACAAGCTGGCTTCAAACTGGTTACTCCACTAACGACCACATCCACATACTCAGCCAACTACTGAAGAAGTGTGAAGAATGCCAAATCCCTCCATGCTTCTTATTTGTAGACTACTGGAAGGCATTTGACTCACTAAAGACTACAGCTGTAATTAACGCTCTACATGAAGCAGGTTTTAGGTCAAAATACGTCGAAATGATTAAACTGTTAAATACGGGTTACTCTACTGAAATAAAGATATTCTTTGAAAAGTGCCACATAATAAGGGGGAACACCAAAGGGGTCACCAAAATTACTGGCAACAACTCTGGGAAAGCTCTTCAGAATGATTATATTCAGAGATAAAATAAATATCGACGGAGAAAAACTGTCATATTTACTTTTCGCGGACGACTGTGTCCTGTTAGCCACAAATCCTGAAGATCTCCAAAGTGATCGACAACAGCTAGTGACCATCTCTAAGAAAGTCGATCTGGAAATGAACATAAGAAAGACGAAATGTATGCGGAATGTACATTGGTATAGGGTACAGTCCGCCTAGACGGTGTGCAAATAGAACAAGTGTAGAATGTCTATCTCGGTCGCCAAATGAACGCTAACAACTGTCTTGACGGAAAATGGGACAGAAGAAGAAGAGCAGGTTGGGTTTCATTCGGAAAATATCACACAATGTTGTCAGATCAAACTCTACCGTCTTTAGCAAAACAGCTCTTTCAGTCACGCTGTATGCTTGTGAGACATGGGCTACCACGAAGGTCTCAGAAGAAAAGTTTGCCATCAAAGAAAGTGCAATGTTTAGGCGAATGTGCAATCTTTCCCGGAAGGACAAAATAAGGAACGAAGATTTGTGTCGCATGACCGGAGTAAAAGACGTGGTAATCGAGATGTACATCAGCAAAAAACGCTGGGTTGGTCATATCGCAAGATAATTGTTGGGCCTGTCGACTGACACAGTGGATACCAAGAGGACATAAAAAGGCCTCTGGGCAGACCAAAAACGAGATGAGCCGCTCGTCAAGCTATTCGGTCAATGTTGGAGAAGGTTCGCGCAGAACAGAGATGTGTTGAACTCGATAGACCTGGGTTTTCATGAAGAAAGACAACAGCTCGTAAGGTAAATCCTAAGGTAATAATCCGCCAGTGAAGATTCTACATTATCACTTTTAAAAAATCACTCGAAGACGGCCAATCCCATTGACACGCCTCATTATTTAGGCATATTAACGATAGGCATATGCAACGCATTGCGCATAGAACGTATTATTATTGATGACTTTCACTCATTATCATCGCAACTGCTTCGCTTAGTTGCTGCATTTTTGTGCGAAATCGGTGATCTATTCGAAGGTGAGGCACTCTCTCATTTCATCACAGCAAACCGCCAACTTATCATCTGGTCTACTTGGTTCGTCCATCCTGGAATCCCCATCTTTAGCATATGAATCAAAATGACGTACATGCTCAACATGCACACCAGTCAGTTTTCTAATGAAATACAGTAGGTGACATCTCAGCTCCTGTTTTCCTGTGAGAGACCGTCTAAAAATAACCGGATCCGATGAATCTTCAAATGTATAGTGCGATGTAACGGTTCTCGATATGAGAATCATTATAGTTACCGGTTGGACTCATTTGCGATGAATGAAAGAATATAAATGATGACTACACTCAATCTTAAAATGAACAATGATTACGTATATTGTTATAAAGTGGCAATCGGATTCGGATAAATTTGAATGATATCTACTGATGCATTCGCATGAATTCATTCAAATGCGAGAAAAGGCTCAATGCTTGACGTTTATACATCGTTGAACATTGATCGTTTTATCGAGAATTTTTCTAGTTTTTAACAACGAATAAGTGGATGGCTGGAGTGATTGCCAAAAACATACTCTGTAATGCAATACATGCATGTTTATTTTGGGATTGATACATCTGTAAACACGTTGTAGATTGAGGAAAGTAATCGAACAAGCTGCAAAAATTTTTTTATTGAACTCTGAATCAATTTGTTCAAAAAATGCAATTTCGGTGAGCAAATTCAGAAATTTTTTGGTCGAAATCCGATCGAGAACTCATTAAAATTCGTCAAATTGTGGTGCTTCCCGTTAAATTGAAAAATTAACCATATCGAAAATTCAGGAAGTCACCATTACTGTTGCAACGGACGTAGAAGTTGGTACTAGCCTTCAGTGGCAGAAGAAGTGCTCCATCGGAATAAAGTTAGTTTTGACAATACGAAGTGAAATTGGAATGAAAAAATAACGAAGACAGGTTGAAGTGAAGATTCGAAGCTTTGCGCACTTTGCAATGCAGTTGAATACTCTCACGCATAATACGTGACCGTTGAGCAGAATGATACTGCTGTCATAGAGGAAACTTGAATAAATGCAAGAAAATAATGAAATTTTAATGATGGAGCAATTTTATAAAGCTGAACTTTGAAAATTATGTGGATCATGCACACAATCTTCTTGATTTTCTTTTGATCTTAGCTAACAATGAGCATTCGACTCAATCATATTTCTCTTTTACTCATCACAGTGCAATCTAGGTATATAATATATGCTCACGAACGAAAGTTCGAAAACAAGGATATTCCAAGCGCACACTTGCTTTCAAATAGCATTACTAACATAATTGAACTTGTCTCGCAAAACTTAAATATAATCTTCCAAGCTGAGTAAATTTCATTTGCTCTACGCTCGAAGAAAGCGTGAAATATTGGATTTGAAGAAAAGTCTTCTTTGCTAACAAGATGTCCGTGTTCATCAAAAGAATTGCCACGAGCTATGTAAAAATCTTATTATCTTCGTTGTACATCATTACTATTCGTTCGATAAACCATTCTTGAAATCCATTTATCGGTCTACACGACTCCATTTTAAATTTTGCCTTCTTGTTATTACTCTAGAGAATGAATGAATAATAAAAAATCACACAGAATCGATGCTACGTGTGCAAATAAGACAGTAGGTTAATATGTGCATAACAGACACCTGATGTAAGAAATACGCAAGTGATCAGCATTGAGCATTTGGAAACTCTGGTCACCCATTACAGAAAAAAAGTGTCGATAATCAGAGTGGAATACCATGATTGATTACATTTGGGCTTAAGCTCAGGTTTACCATCAGATCAGGAACCACTTATTGGCTTGATAGAACCTCAGTTATAGTATGAGCTTCAGCCTAAGCCTAAACTCAAATGCATTCATCACGATCTTTCATTTCGATTATCGCCACTGCACGGAAATGTATTCCGAAATTGTTGCTCCAAGCATTATTGGTTAATGTTTTGACTCAGCAGCACCTAAATCGATGTTGAAAAAGCGACGTAAAACACAATTGAACTTAAGTTCACCAAGCTCAATCATGATCAACACAACCAACTATGTTCCAAATTTATCGTTTAGGCTTTATCATGATTGCACATATTAGTTCAATTGAACCATTGCCATGTTGCATATGCTCATTAACTAATAACTACAAAACTAATAAAAATGAAAAGCAAGTACATAATGAACTGTGCTAGTAATTCCACGCAAAGATACTCCGTTGCGTTTGTGACGTATCCGAATTATGTTTGACAGAAAGATGATGGCAGCATAGCAATTAAGATGATAAATATTATACATCAATAATCGTTGCATTTGTCACGTTGAAATTCCATTATAAAATAGTTTGATTAGTTCATCACTTTCATACTTCGTCAATGGAGTCAAAATTTAGAAGTTTTCTCGGAATCATATCGCCAGCCTTATAATCAACTTGTCAGCAAATTTAATTTACTTTTTTAGTGTCGAATTTTTGGTGATAGCACGTATCCAAGTCATATTTTATGATGTTTCGTGTTTGTATTCGGTATGCATTTATTAAAACACATTGCTTACAATTAGGTTGTTTTAGAGTAACACCAGTGCCGAATGCGCTTTTGGGTGGTCTGCTTTGGAGCTGACGTCATCCGTACGAGTGTACCTCAAATTTAATGCCAATCTTATAGACGCAAGTCTTGTAACAAGTCATCTGCAATTAGTGATTTTCATCAAGAAGTTCTTCCACTTGTTCCAAGTGCTTGACCGTTGACCATACCGAGCAAAGTCGGTCGATCATCATGGTAGATATCAATACCTGAGGCGTGGAAATGGAATAAAATCGGAACAGAAGAATACTCATTGCCCAGCTTTTTGTGTGAAGCATTTACCTCCCATCGTACGGAGCACTCAGTCAAATGAAAATTTGCAAAATCTCGAATGACAAATTGTTCCTTGCACGAGATTTCACCTGATTTAGCATCAAATCGAGTCTCTTTAGTTGTTCCATATTCCTGCGGAAGTATCATTTTGAGAAATAAGTAACGGCCTTTAAAACAACAGTTTTAACTCGTTCTCATGGAAGACAACCCTGTTTGTTGCTGCTCAAATGCTGGACAGGATGTCTTGAATTCTTCCTCGGAAACCTTTATTCACACACAAAAATATTCAGAATCTTTTCGGAGATGATTTCCGATGTTTTATGTCCGTGTTGAAGTAACTTTCAGAATGTTCTTTTTCAATAGACCTGGATTGCAGAACTGTTTGGTTATCGCCACAACAGCGGATACCACGAGTTTTCCGCAGGTTATAGTTGTCATGATAATGGTAAAGACGCTTAGCAGCTAGGAGTGTAACACTGTTCCAGTGAATTGCTTAAAGCCTGACCGAATGTTCCATAGCTCATTCATTCTTTCGCAAACTTTCCATCAAATTCAGCTGTGCACTCTAGTATTTTTAGATTTTCTGTGCTCAACACCGAACGCCCCAACAATACAATTCTACTAATCATTTGTTTTTTCTTCTGAATATATCAATTGAACGTAGTCGAACGCTGACTGAAAATCCGATTGGATGATGTCTGTGAGTATGCTTCAGGAATAGAAAGAAGAAAAACGATGAAACATCTATCCATGAAACTGCAATAACTCATCGCACCTCTCATAACAATCGATTATCACGTACGCTTAATGCATAAGCCGTAACCATATTCCTTGTATCGTCTTCCAATTATGTCATGCTCTCTTCTTCCATTAACCAGTTACTATTCACCCCAAACTAAAAAATACATGTTACTTTTCACAGTGGTCGTTACTCTAATGATGTATCTAAATGATTCAGATCAAACAACTTAATTTTAAATATTAAGCTAATAAGACCATTAAGACACATCAATATGAATGGTTTAATTTCAACGAAAATGCAGCTTGTGTTATTTATGCACTTGCGCGAAACTGTTAAACGTCATCAAAAGGTCTAATTGAACATATGCTGTTTTGGAATGAACATCAGTACACTTCAGTCAACGGCTATCCTCTTGAACTCAGAGCACAACATTACTTTCATTAGTTCCACTTTCCATGGATCTATTACAATTCTTTGATCAGTTCTCTGTGTTTACAGTTCTGTGTTTTTCTTCGGTCATCCTTCTTTCTCGCAAGTGAGCATTCTTGACAAAGCGTAAAACTTCTCACGAATACCTAAAATGGCACGCAACTCATTAGCTGAACGCATTCATCATAAAAATTTCTCAATCCTCAGTGGGAAAATCTTCTAATTGAAACACATCATTAGTATTTCATCAGAGTCTCAACCTTCAACATACTTTAGTAATTTGTGAATGTGCGTACATTTGGTATCGTTGATCATGCAGTGGGATAAGTGAAAGGAAGTGCTATGACTTTAATTAGTGATTTCGAGAAACGACTATCGAACAAGGAAAATGGTTCCATTTGCTAATTTGAAAAATGTTGTCGATGTGATCTATTATCATAACGGTCGTCAATGATAACAGCAAGGATGCACCGTGCTTAAACATTCAAGTGAATTTGTTTCTTGCTCAGAACATTTGACAGCATACCATGAAAAATCAACCAAGTAGATTCAGTTCAGCAGCAATTAAATATGTAGACATGGGTGGTCAACAAATTTACGAATCTAGAACAAATTTCTCAGCTGTGAACGCTCACATCTAGCAATGAATTAGAAAGATTCATCCTTTTATAACATAAATCTTCCAAAATCATAATATAATTATACATAATAACTATCGAGTATTTTACACACTTTAACTACAAATAAACTCGTTCTATTCGATGAAGATTTATGCAAAAAGAATCCTATTGCTGTGTTGGCTTGAGTGTGGGCGCATTACATCAATTGTGAAAAGATTGGCTGGAAATCAAATTATATGACATGATAAAATATGTTGATTATTGGATTATCACAAAGCCATATTCATTCTTCTAAAAACTTTCAACTAGGCATCGATATCAGTGTTGACAAATGACGAAAAATCATCCACGGATATTGACGCAGAAATGGAGAGATGAAGCGTGGGCGATGATTACATTCCTCCTGAGGTGGCTGGGCTGTTATTAGTTGAAAGAGCAGTAGACAACAGCAGCAGCAGCAGCAGCAGCAGCAGCAGCAGCTCGCATTATTTCTTTATTTCTCTAATTTCGAGGGCGTATGAAAGAGAAGGGGAACAAACGCTTTACAACAGCATACAAACCGATTCGTACTGGCAAAGCTGAGTGCCCTGAGGCTGCAGTTGTTCGTCGTTGTGCGTAGACTCGAGTGTTTGTTGTTGTAAGCTAGAATTATCATCTAATGTGCTGCTGTGCACTCATTATTGTTGTTTTCGGCTGTTCTTTTTCACTTCCAATGCTTATTTCACCGAATTCGATTCCTTCATCATTAGTATCCTCGTCCTTCGAGCCATTTCGAAGCTTTCTTGCTTCTTTATATATGATCAGCTTCATCTTCATTGCTAAGCAAACAGAGTTGTTTGAGTTTTGAGATGATCGTCCTTGGCAATCCTCACTTCGGATATATCAATTTCTTTAGTCGCAGTTTCTTCTATTAAGACATCGTTTACTGGATCTTGTGCGAAGCTTGCACAGTTAGTATCTGTAGTACTTCCAGAATTAGGAAGAATGGAGCTGCGCAGCAAGTAAGATCCTATTCAAACACAATTCGTTGTTCCGAAATCAGAATTAGGAATTCTGATAGAATTTTCAGAATGTATCCTACTGTTATGTATGTTCTGAATGTGCTACGCACTGGCGTCTGCGAAATAAATTCAAGAGTATCTGATTGTTGCACAACTCTGCGATGCAACTGCTCCTGAAGTTGCTTGTTGTGACCGAAACGTATAATGAGTTATTATGAATATGTTCCAACAATAGCAATTCAATAACTGGTCACGACATCGTTCTGTTTGGGACGTTGATATAGAATTGACAAGACGATTGTTCCAGAAATAGACCAATTCATGATTCTCGAAGAAAATTCATCTTCAGATCAATGTTGTTCGTGTCGTCTGTTGAATCGAAATGCTCTGCTTAAGTTGGAATGCTACCTTTCGTAAATTCTGGTTATTTTTTATCAAAAATCCGTCTGTATTCAAATTTGCTGCATTTCACAGTTTTTCTCTACTTTTGAATGTGTTGTGCCCATTTGCATATATCATATTTACATACTAAAATATATAAAAGGGTATCATTGCTTTATTATTTCATTACAATTATAGATAAGCTGCATTGGTTTATCGAACAGCAGTAGAGCAATCATACAATATTTGAGTGATAAGTAATTTCAAAATCATTGTTTCAAATTCTATCAGGAATGAAAAAAAAGAGAATTCGGAGAAGAAATAATTCGAAATTTTGTGTAGGAGTTGGTGTTCACGTTTCGCTTATTCAAAATAATCGTCGTTGATTCGATGAAACAGCAACGCTTGTGGTAACAGCTGTGTTCGTTTGTTGCTTCAAAGAGAAGCAATATTCACTTTAATATCACTATCACTGCTATCTGCTGTGCACTGCACTTCATTTTAGAATGCTCGCCCCACCTTACTTTATTTTTGTCTTCACCTCATCGCGTTCCTCAACCTTCCCATTCTGCTGCTCACCAATTGGTGTTATTCATCACCACATACATTATGCATATTCAATCAATTGCATTCTTGTTCCTCACGCTCCTCATAGCAAAAGATTCGATGTTTGATGGTATTTGTCGTCATAAAGTTGACTAAATCCTTTCAAAATGTTCGCCGAATCAATTGACTTTGTTTGCATGACCATCTCGTACTGACTAATAATTGATCTTGGTTTTCACGCTGATATTTTCGTACCGCAGTGAGAATTAATTCTTGTTTATCAGAAATCTAGTCATATCCAGCATTATCATTCCACTTCAATTCGCGGATTACGAATGAGTGCGAATGTCTTTGAAATTTCCAATATCGTTTAATTATTGTCTTTCCAGGATGAGCGACGAATTCAACTGCGCGGTACCTGAATACGAGGATAACTACCGCTATGGCGGTCCTCAGGGTGAAGAAGATGATTCGGTGAGTTTACAAATTACTGTAACTTGCATGCCTTCATCTTCATAATCTGATAGATGTCTCACGCTTAAATTCGATGATCTAAAAAAATCGGTGATCTAAAAACCCATTTGCACACACATAACAAACATTACAACAATCCAACACATTCATAATCAGAAATTGAGGTATCATAATATGAAGCTAAAATCGCGAGATTCCAAATTGTGAACAGAATGAGTTTGCGTTAAAGCTTCCAAAATTGAGTATTCTCGGAAGCTTAAGTAAAAAACGAATCGTCCTCTCAGTGGACATCATTGACTTCTGAGTAATAATAGTGAAACGATCAACGTAGAAATGTGCAAATGGGTCAAGACACCTGCAGTAAAGCACAAAATACGCAAGGGCCAAAACAGTCCTTGATCAATTACAGACACGGATAATATTTTAGGAGGCAAAAAGAAAGGCTGAAGAGCGTGAGAAAAAGAAGGCCGAGGTGCGAAAGCGTCTTGAAGAAGCCGGCTCGAAAAAGAAGTCCAAGAAAGGTTTCCTCACTCCAGAGAGAAAGAAGAAACTTCGTGTAAGTAGTGATCATCTTTGAAGTGCTTGATTTCAGAGTTATTTAAATCAAAATGAATTATCTAGTGAAATGGAATGTCGGTGAAAATCGATGATATTGTCGAAAAAAATGCTCACTGTTCTGGACAGATCTGTAGCTGATACTGATCAATTCGTATTCCAGAAATTGCTTATGATGAAAGCAGCCGAAGATCTGAAACAACAGCAGTTGTTGAAGGAACAAGAAAGGCAAAAGGTTCTTGCTCAGCGCATCATCCCACTCCCGAACGTTGACACTGTTGAAGATCATGGTAATCGCACAGATAACCGTTTTGCATTCATAATCTTAGCACTTCTACAGCAGCTCCACAGTGACAAAAAGTAGCGATTTGATGATATAGCTTCAGTAGCGGGTCCGTTTGGGACTGATAAGTTGAGAATATTTGCAGTATGCGCTCGTTGGCAATGTTGATTTCGTATATGTTACTATTACTTCTTTGGACCTTATTCACTGCATTGCGTATGCGTTTTGATCGAAATTCAAACGAATCGCTGTCAAAACCAATGATTTTAATCAATAGCCAAGCGAAAGTTTACAGGTAAATTGGAAGCGATTTACAACGAACTGTTCCAACATATGGTCAAACTCGAAGAGGAAAAATACGATATCAATCAAGCAGTAATGGCCAAAGATGCAGAGGTGCAATCGAAAATTTGTATTCTGTTCTAGCGTGTCTTTCATCCCGCTGCTTCAGCTTTAAAGCCGTCAATTTCTTAATAAAACATTTGCATATCCATCAGAATTTTGTGGGTTACTTCCATCCCTACTTCCATCCCTATTCAAAGGGATATTTGTGAAGCAGAACGCATGGTCTAAACTCGATACCACCGAAAACAAAGTGGAAAAAAATCAGATGAATGTTCCCTTGCTTGATATAGAATGACAGTTCTGCAGATTAACGAGCTTACCATCGCTGTGAACGACTTGCGCGGCAAATTCGTGAAACCAACGTTGAAGAAAGTTTCAAAATATGACAATAAGTATGTCACACTTTCTTTCATATTGTTTTTCAAACTCAATTTGCATAGAGCGCCATATGTACACTTTTATATATCAGGTAAAATCTCTATTCAAACGAAGTGGTAGTCTGTGCGGCTTTGTGATCATCAACACATGCTTAATCGGACAGATAATAAGAATCAGCCTTTTCTAAATTTCAACTCACACAATTCAGTTTATTCAACAGCATACTTAAATGGGCTTTAGATTCAAGAAAATGGCTGGTCAAAAGAAGGAAGATAAACAAGATTTCCGAGCAAACCTCAAGGTTGTGAAGAAAGAAAATGTCATTGATGATATCGTCAATAAGGTAAAAGATTCGTTCAGATGAAATGTATTTGTCATCCACTAGATGCATGAAGGCAGATAACTGCTCTGTGTTAGTCAGCACAATATACAGCAGTCAAGAGAATCAAATGCATGCTTGCGAAGCCGTTCATTCTTCCGGTATCTGTTTTGTAGCAAATGGCCAAGAAAACCGATAAGCCTGATTGGTCGAAGAAAGGTGGCGAGAAACAAGCTGGTGACGCTGAAGAGAAGAAGGCAGAAGAAGCTGCACCAGCTGAAGAGGCACCTCACGCTGATGAACCAGCTGAGGAAGATGGAGCAGATGAGGAAGAAGGTTAGTTGATTACATCAACCATAGAGCAATGCTGAAATTCATCGATTCAAATTGGTCGTATTTTTCGACCATCGATCATGCCAATATCTTTAAATTGATGTATTACTTGAACGCATATTCATACGCAATTGATCCTTTCATCAAAAACTCATGAAACATGATCAGAAATAAACTCATTGAACTGCATTCACTACCTTATTCATGTCGATTCTTTTTTTTCAGTGGAAGAAGGCGAAGAAGAAGAGGAAGAAGAAGAAGAGGAATAAACGTATCGATCCCTCGGAATCTTACAATCAAATTGCTCTGAACCATAAATGTGCTCATTTGGAGTGCTCAACAGTTGCTCACGCAAACCCGATCGCTATTATTCATAAAAGCCTTTTCCTTTGCTTTATGATCTTTCCAACTCGCAGTGTTCGTTTTTCACATCCTCAACATCTTCTTCATCTGTAAACAAATTTGTTTCTTTCTATCATTCTTCAATCAATTTGTAATTTAATACATCGGTGCTATTCGAAGGCTTATTATTATCATTATTATTATTACTATTTCCATTATCATTTCTATCGCTGTGTTATATACTCATTCAGATGATTTACGACGTGACTCATTATTTTGTTTTCATTGGCACACTATCATGTCCATCTTCGAAGAGAAGAATTCTCCTTACGGCGAAAGGGAATTGTTCACTTCACTTTGCCATTCTCAATTATACGTACACGACTGATGATGCATAAATATAAAAGAAACAACAAATTCGGAATGTTTGCTATCGTTAAGTGCATCATAAAAACTTCGTTGGTGGTGAAAACATCTGCTGCAAAACACATTGACGACTTTAACTCCTTTTTTTCACGTTCAATAAATAGCTGATGACCGAAGATGTTCACCTCATTTGCTTTTATAGCGCAATTGGCTGTTTCGGCTGAGATACTGAAGAATTACAGTTTGGAAATTAAATTTACTTTTCCGTAGAATTTTTCATTTCATTATCCGATGCTATTACTTAGACTTCAAGAGACTGAAGAAAACGTTTGAGAGAGAATCTTAACATGTATAGATCAGATGGGTTTCATGACAATCAGGCTGGACAGCAAGAGACGCATTAAAAATTTCGAGACAACAAAATGAACAAGTATTATATGATGGATGATTGAGTCCATTTCAGTGTGTTTAATCTATTTCTCCTGTCCAGAAACCGTTTAACTCATGACTAGGACACGGACCTATCAGAGGGCAAATTTTGCACGATGGGGAGAACTGTGTGATTGCATGTCATATAGCGGGACGGCAACATCACGTACGGCTTTGGAAGTCTGTATGCACGTTCCGAAGGAGAGATAACTGACTGTGGTCGAAAAATTCGAATTATGTTGACAAACCGTTTCGGTGGGATCTTTATTCGAAAACACAAACGCTTCTATAAGTTCATCTAATTCCAACGGTATAGAAAGGTACTTTCAAGCCAGTTTCCTCTGTTTAAGTCCACTAACGAAAAGCAGATTGGTGTTGCATGCGACCATCGGTTGTATCGCATTTGACCGATGCCTTCTCACTCGGCAATGGTTCTTGGATGAACTTCCTGAAAATATCCGCTATTTGAAGACGCCACATCATATTCGGAGTTTATCTTCCACTCTGACAAATTCAACTCAACAGGTTTGCAGCTTACCAATCATGAGCTTATTGATGTAATTTCTCTAGATGATAATGGATTTTTGGATTGTTTGGACACTGAGCGGTTGGTTTGCCGATAGCTCTATGCGATCGGCAAAATGTTCGTCATTGTTGCGGCTGTTTAATGGATTGGCATTCGGCTGTATTCAAATATTTATGGCGCCGGGTATTCGTTACTGCTTGGTTATGGAATGCTTGATACGCCGATTGCAATGGATCTACTCGGTTACATTAATTGTTTATTACTGATACCGAATGACTACTTATTCACTACTGTTAGTTGTTCCAAGCAGCCACTCTGAACGATCGTTGGACGAGTGTTCAATCGATCAATCGAAAGGTACCTTTGGGCAATTTTTGAGCCCTTCTCCCTAGAAATCATTGGGCAATGAGGAAGAGTAGCCCAAAACCTCTGTGCTTGCCAAATCAATAATCCAAATTAGAATTTCACGAAGACAGATGATTACTAATGCTATTTTCGTTAGCTGCGAGGAAGGAGGGATGCCAAGGAAGGAAGAATGTGATATTGGTGATATAATAATATTGGTAATAACAGACAGGCATAAACTCGTAATGAGTTGAATTTTCTGATTAAATAAATAAATCGATAATGAATTTTAAATATTCAGCAGTACCAATATGCGATTGAAAACGCATCAATAAAATTGTTGTCGTCTACTCGGAATGAATTTGATTCTTTGTTTAAATTACAGCGCGTTAGAACAAGGACGACGAACTGTACTCAAATGAACCGAAAAAAAAGAACCATTTTATGAGAATGAATATCAATAATTTTATGACTGAAGATAATTTTACGTTCTCCATGGCCCACGTTCATCGAGTTTTGGTGCATAAAAGCTCAGTATTCTTTGCATAAGGAGTAAATGCCATGAACTTGCTGACAGTTCACATGCCTCAAATGTGCGGTCATTTATCGTGCTTTGTTGTACTATCAATTGCCTTTCTTTGCATGAAGTTGCATTGTGATACGATTGGTCAGATGAATTCAAACGCTACGATTATTTTGTTTCTCGAAACTTTTGGTGCTCGATGACATCGCACTGAATATATTTTATAGCCAACTTTGTCATATGAATACCATACATTAAACAGTCACAAACGAGACAACATTTCCAGGGAAATCCGTTTCCTTATTCTTGAAGATCATTCTGCTACAATAAGGACAAGTGTTCTCTCATAAAACGCTAGTTAACCATGGAATATAATGTGGTGAAATTCTTACAAAATGGATAGTGTTAGGGACCCGAAACGTGGAGCTTCAGTATTATAATGAGGCCTAGTATTATAATGAGAATCGAAACTGGACTAAACCAGCATACAAATTACTGCCTTTCGTAACATAATGGATCAATTTATTCAGAGTTTTGAATCAACTGTATTCTTCATGTGACAGAGATGACAATAGATAATAACAAGATAATAACAATGAAACCGACAACAACAGCATTAATAACGATAACAATAACGATAACAAAAGAATAATAATATTGATAACGATTCCGTGTGGTTATTCAGGCACTAAGCGGTTAGTTTGCCGATTTCTCTGGACGATCGACAAAATGTTTATCGTTGTTGCGATTATTCAATGAATTGGTATTCGGCTATGTTTAATTATGTATATTATTCGTGGCAGCGGGCATTCATTACTGCTTGGTTGTGGAATGTTTAAAACGCCGATTGTCATGGATCTAATCGGTTGCAGTAGTTGTTTATTACTGATCCCGAAAAATCACTGTTTTACTACTGTTGATTGTTCCGAATAGCTACTCTGAGCGACCATTGGACGCATGTTTAATTGATCAATCGGAATATATTTTCCAGCTTCTTTTAAATTCCTTTCCCTAGAAATCACTGGACAATATCAGAGATAGCGGATGGATTACTTCCACACACTTTTTGCCTAATTTAAGAAACACTGAGAATTCAGTATGTGGAAAACGTCAAAAAAGGCGGTTTAAAGTTGAGAATATTCTGTTTAACAGAACAAAAGTTTTTCTGAACCGAAAGAGCAATTTTGCTGACAATGAGAAGAATAATTATTGTGATGAGGTGATTACATGTTTCGTTGGCTTTGTAGTGCTATACATCCACATAGACGTGTATCTTGACAAGAACAATATGCGAACATTCAATTATTCCGCTGTCTGCTTAATCATTAAGAATATCACCTGCTGAATTGAAATTAAACTTTGTTCGGCTGCAAAATCATTGTACGCGCATTTTGTGCGCAATGACTGGTGGAAGTAATGGCCTATGAAAACATCAAGAGACATGCCTCTTGATGTTTTCATACACCTGTGTTTGCATTTGGGCGTATTTGTTCACATCAAATTTTGGCTGTGTCATTACTTGCATGCTATTTCCTCGATATTATTACTTTCTCATTTAGATCACTATTCACGCACAATCGTACTTGCTTTGTGCTGAAAGAAAATCGATTTTACGGATCAAAATGTTGCATATACTCATTTGTGATTCCTGCTAGACGTTGGCATATTTAATCGCTTCATTTGAGTAACATCAGCGGGTAGCGTCATAACATGTAAACAAAACTGCGGCATCGAACATCTCTGCTCTGGGTTTTTTCGGTAATAAATAACAAGATTATATGTAAATATATGACTCACATACGAAATAACTTCGAAAAAACAAGTCTCTCAATTTATTGTCTCAGTTTCCACAATCTTCGCCGCATTGTTCCGCCGAAGAAACCGTTTCTCCCATTGGAAAGAAAAATCATTCAATTAGCCGTTTTTGATGTTTCGCTTTTACTAGTTTCCTTCTCTTAAGACACACTTCAAGTATAAATATTATCAGATCAATCAAATTTATTTGTGAGAAGACGACTGTTTCCGACCTTGAGGAGTGCCCACGAGCGTGAAATAATTTGTGTTCCTTATTAGTAGTATCTAATCGTATAATGAATGCTACAAAGTTTTGTGTTGTAGGAACAATTCTTACAGGTTTCTATTTGACACAAGATTTTACGAAAGTGCTTATCTCGAATTCTGACTTCAACGTTTCGTTGCCTCTCCCTAGCAGTCTTTCTGTGTTTATTCCATGTGAAAGCGTATTTCTTTTCTTGAACTTTTGAAAGCTCTTGAGATTTGTGTCCCCCTCCCCCCCCCCCCCCAGTTCATTGATGGATTGATTCATGAGGATCGTGTTAACTTTGCAGGAATTTATTCATTTTCATTCGATCAATCGATTTCATTTGACTCATTCCTCAGATGTGACTTGTGAAAGAAATTGAAGTAATTAGGTTGCATAAATGACTTATAAATTATAATTTTATGAATCAAGCGAAGCATATTTAACAATGAATTCAAGTGAATTATCAGCATCCATTAATTTTATTACGGCGATTACAAATTAATCAGCACATGAACTGCCCTCGAACATCTCACTGCTCATTCAACCCCTAATCTTCAGATCCAGGTGTTACTTTCAGAAATCAGTGCCATGAATTCCTAATCATGAAGTACATTGAGGAATGAGAACGCATGCTTATTATGATGAGCCATTCTAATTCCATGGTGATCATTGAACCAATGCTACGACTCATTGT